TCCAAGGGTATACAATCACTCTCATATATTATATTATACAGTATGGAAGTCTAGAGCTGAGAACAATCAGTGAAGACGAAAGCATAGATCTGAATCTTCTCATGGGATTGAAGGCAAAGTTCCACTCTGAGAGTCATTCAGTCTTTATCCGGTAATGAGCATGAACCAGAAGACATTGCTGGAACCAAAATTACCAATTTAGTGGATTAAAATTGGCTTTCGCAGTTAAGAATTAAAATTGTACCATTTCACCAATTTTGACTTTCACCAAGTTTGTTTCAGCGTTCCATCGAATTCTCACCCTTTTACAGCAGTTTGGGGGGGGAAGAGAACAATCTATTTTTTTAATCCCGATTTCACTGACATGGAAACCGAGACAGAAGCCAAAACCCTCTGCAGAGTCATTAGCAGACTGAGGATTACAGGGCTCTGGGTCCGAAATCAGAGGTCACGCGGGTCAGGGATTCTGGGGCAGACCCCCAGAGCTTCAGTTGTGCATTAGCGGTTTCATCCCCACATTTTTCCTCATCCCTGACACAGCGCACTAAGAGCGCCTCTAGTCAGCTGTGTATGCTATGTGAGGCATTTCAAATATGTTTCTGGGAGTTGTCAGTGCTGTTCTCCATGAGGCCTGAAGGCAAAATTCAACGTTTGTAGTAAATAAAGTACTAAAATTATATCAGCTATTAAGAGGATGGATTATTTCCAAGTTGCTTAGCCATATTGGCTGAGTGTTGAGTTCAGCCTTGGTGCCAACATATTATGCACAAGAGTTTTATGTTCCTGGGCACCAAGAATGACACTGAACATGGAGGTACGGAGTTGGCTGGGCAGGATATCAAGGTAGGGGCAGCAGGGTTCAAGAAGGAGTTGATGGAGATGTAAGAGCAGGTTCTGGAAACTCTGCGAGGCTGGAACCTCCACCTGACTAGCTCCCAAAAGCTGATGCAGATGAGACAGGCAGCGTGAGAGGCTGGATTCGTAGTGTTTTGCAAACAGTGGGCCCCAAGGCATATGTGTTCCTAGAATCGAAGGCACCTATGGATTTTCTCATCCTCTCCCTCTAAGTCTCTAGTATGAGCTGAATTATGTCCTCCAAAAGTTATATGTTGAAGCCCTAAACCCCAGTACCTGAAAATATTAGTGTATCTGGAGATAGGGACTTTAAAGAGCTTTCTGAGTTAAAATGAGGTCAGTAGGACGGGCCGTAATCCAGTATAACTGGTGTCCTTATGAGAAGAGAAAATTAGGACACAGACACACACAAAGGAGAGACATGAAGACACAGTGAGAAGACGGTCGTCTGCAAGCCAAGGAAAGAGACTTCAGAAGAAACCAACCTTGCCGACTGCCACCTTGAACTCGGACTTCTAGCTTCCATAACTGTGAGGAAACAGAGTTCTGTTTAAGCCACCCAGACTGTGGTGTTTTGTCACAGCAGACCTAGCAGAAGACACAGTCTCCTTGTGAGTTTAAAGAACATGACAGGGTTGCCTGGGTGGCTCAGATTAAGATTCTGTCTCCCTCTCTCTCTCTCTCTCTCTCCCTCTGCCCCTCTACCCCACTCATGCTCTCTCTCTCTAAAATTAAAAAAAAAAAAAAAGAAAGAACATGACTGGATGGCCCACCTAGTATCAACACCAACCAAATGAAAACCGTCAAAGGCCATTCTGGTAGGAGCTAAAAAAAAAAAAAAAAAAAATCTAAAACCAAAAAATACAAACCTAGGAAGATGGTTTGTGAAATAACATCTGGTTTGAATGACGCCCAGTGTCTTTTACTAGACAAGATGCATTAGCACAATTTCTGGAGAAAAGCCCAAATACGTGCCCCAAATATGTACACCACGATATGATGGAATATAAATCTTTTTTCCCCCTGGCTCTACGGTGTCCTATGGAAGGAATCCAAATAGTATGAAAAATGTCCTCGAGTTAAGGTGCATCATACCAGCCAAGTTTATGGAACCAAGTTACAAAGTTACAAGTGTTACAAGAAAAATACATTCACGTAATGTTACGGCTAATTTTTCTTTAGATCTCCTATCTGGGGTTTAACTTACAGATTACATTATTTGATGAAACTACACAAGATTTAATCAGAAGAGGGACCTCAGCACTGAGGACTTGGCAACCAGCTAAGGCAGATAGTCTGTAGGGCATCATCGATGGTGGGGATGTTGGTGATACTGGAGACCAGCTTACCTTTACTGAGCATTTCCTGGGGCACAGGTGCTAAATAGGCGCTTGGCATATTTCATGTCAGTTTCACAGGGACCCTGATGGATAACACAGGGTACAAGGTAGCAGCTTAGTTTTGGCTACTACAACTACTCAGTTGCGTGAACTTGAGCAAATGACATTACTCTGTGTAACTGTCTTCTCGTTTGTAAAAGGTTGTTAACACACATAAAAGTGCTTGACGTAGTGCCTGGTACATATAGAAGTTTTCTTTAAAACCAAATCTTTATTTTTTTTAATTAAAAAAAATTTTTTTAATGTTTATTTATTTTTGAGAGAAAGAGGAGGGAGAGGGAAAGAGTGAGCAGGGGAGGGGCAGAGAGAGAGAGGGAGACTGAGGATCTAAAGGGGGCACTACACTGCCAGCAGAGAGCCCTGTGTGGGCTCAAACTCACGAACCATGAGATCATGACGTGAGCAGAAGTCAGAATCTTTTTTTTTTTTTTTAACGTTTATTTACTTTTGAGACAGAGAGAGACAGAGCATGAACAGGGGAGGGGCAGAGAGAGAGGGAGACACAGAATCCGAAGCAGGCTCCAGGCTCCGAGCTGTCAGCCCAGAGCCCGACGCAGGGCTCGAACTCTCAGACCGTGAGATCATGACCTGAGCTGAAGTTGGACACTTAACCGACTGTGCCCCCAAAAGTTTTAATAAATGTAGGCTGCTAGTATTTTTTCTAAACATCCTCACATGAGGAAACAAAGGACAGTAGAGATGTTAAGCAATTTGCTCGATACCTTGGTGCCATTCTGAAGCAGGATCCAGGCGGGCACATCGGATCCCCCCATTACTCAGGCTCTCCAGTGCCTCCTGTTGGTCATACTGTCCTTTGCAGGTTCTTGTGACCTTCTTCCTGCTGAGACCTGACAGAATGATTTTAATATGGGTGACACATGTTCCCTTACCCCTAAGTACTTCAGTGTGTGATACCTAAAAACAGGGACAGTCTCTTTGAGAACCACAGGAAAATGATCAAATCAGGAAATTAACACCGATATACTAATATCTAATTTCTAGAATTTATTCAAATTTTGCCAACTGTTCTGCTGACACATAGGAAAGCAAAAAGGAAATAATCCTTTTCTGGTTCAGGATCCGAATCCAGGGTCCCACAAGGCATTTAATTATTGTGCTTCTTTTGTCTTTCTTTATCTGGAACAATTCCTCAGCGTTTGTGTGTGTGTGTGTGTGTGACTTTCATGACCTTTACGCATATAGAGTACTGGTACGGGGGGGGACTATCCCTCATTTTGAAATCAGATTTTTTGTTTTTAATGTGCACTTTCTGGAAGCATAAGTTTATCCAAAGGGATGAAAAAATGGCAGGAATATATGAACTATCATAACAGAACTGAAGGGGTCGTTTTGAGGTGAGATGGGTCTTCTGATAACACTTACGTTGAACTGTGTTCGTGGATATCACGGTTGATCCTGCATGAAAGTTGTTCACTGTTAATCTGGTAGGTAAGTCAGTTGTTTCATATATATGAATATGGGTTTGATTTACACAGTCTCTAATACTCTGTCCAGTTCTGGATTCTTCTAGCATGATCGAATTCTGATATGTTGTTATGATGCCATCTCCATGCTTCAAGTGTTCCCGAACTGGCTTCCCCCCCAGTGAGGAACATCCTGGTTAACGTCACTTATCTCCAACCATTCCATTCTCTCCTTCCCGTAGCCTTTGCAACGTTTGGTCCACTTTTCTTTTTTCGTGTACTCAGACGCCTTACTTTAACTATGTTTCTGCCACATGACTGCTCTTGGGATGTAGGACATGCCTCACGTACTATGACTGTGTGCGACACGTCTCCTCCACTGAGGACACTACCAGCTCCTGGGGGGCACCAAGTCACTGCCCACGCCTCTTGTTGTGTATTCTTCTTGTGAAATAATTGCTATGTGCACACGCCTGGCAGGAACTGAATGCCTGCTGAGTGGCAGTGTCACCAAGGAGTTGGCCTCAACGCCGTAATTCCCTGCGTGAAGTTCTTGGGCTCGCTTTCTAGACGTAATTTCCGAGGGCTTTCTTTGCTTTGGGGGGCAAAAGAGAGAGGGGAGGCAACAGGTCCACTGGGATGGTAGACTTTGGTGGGGACTCTGGGAGAATAATGATGAGATTTTGCCAACAATTACATAGTGAAGGTATAGAATTTCTACTTGCCTTTGAAATGGCAGAGACTTGCCACCTCCTTCACAGATCAGAAGGATGGGAGTCTAGATAAAATGGCAGCTTTGAGTTGCAGACAACCATTTGTGTGTGATAGTTTTAGACTGAGCGGAAATAGAACGGTTTGCACTTTACAGACACCTTTCAAGCACCCACCCGTCCACGCGTCCACCCGTTATTTCCTTATTCAGCGTATCCCAGCTTCCGTTCTCGGCCCTGAGAATGCAGAGGTGGAAAGAGGAAAGGCTTGGTCCGTTCAGTGGGGCAGGGTAACTACAATGGGGTGCGGCAGACTTCAAACCACACAAATAATTTCAGAGGTGAAGCTGTAACGTAACGAATGCGGAGACCGTGTCCCCCTTCGAGGCCAGCGACCTCCCGGGAAGGCGTGCCTCCTTTGGCAAGGGTGCTGTGCAGGGCCCGGGCAGGCACACAGAGTCACCTGTGTGTGGAAGGCCTCCGTGGGCTGTGGGAATGGCGCTCTTGGATTTCCTGACTTTTGTTCATTGATGGTCTCACGCACAGAGTCGCATTAACCCAGTTTCCTAGACTCAATGAAACCATTGGCAGCTTTCTGATTTGTTTTTCAGCCTGAGCCGACGCTGGCAAAGAGGCTAGAATTCCCAAGCTTTCCCAGGCGAGTGTGGAGAAACACCAGGACGCCTTTTTCTCCTCGCACCCCGCCCCGTCCCATCTGCAGCCAAGCGTGCCTCGGTCAAAGGCAAACTCTGAATCAAGCTTTGTGCTCGTCTCTGGAAGGATACCCGGGATCATGTGACGGAGAAAAGTGACAGCGGCGGTGGTGGCAGTGACATCTGTGGGGCTAGCCCCGTCCCTATCTGCCGCGGGATGCGTGTGGGCATGCTTTGTGAGAAGAATCCACCCCGGGTAGAATGGGGCTTTTGACATCAGCTGAGGCCTGGGCTGCCTCACAATGAGGCCTGTTGGTCAAAGGGAGGCTGTTTAATGAAGTGCCCGCCAGAGGCCAGCTCCGGCCATCTGTACTGGGGACCTTCGGAGCGAGGCTTCCCTGTAACCGGCTACATGTGCGAAAGCACGTTGCCTTTCACAGAAGGCAGCTGCGACAATAAATTCATATTCCCAAACGGTGACCTTTTGACTGCTTTTTGTGTGTGCGTGATGAAAAGCTTCATACCAGCTTGATACTAAGGCTTCATAAGCAAGGAAGCCGGAAAAAGGAGCCTTTTTTGGCCCTGAGGTCAATAATGATAACGGCTTTCTCCTTACATGAGGTAGCAACGCCCTGCCAAGGATGCGAAAACACCGCGTGAAAATGAAATTCGTGAAGGCCTTTAATGATCAAGTGAGGGAGGCAGGTGATGGCAACCGCCACCCCACAGCTGGCTAAACGCCGAGGTTCGGGGAGAAGGATGACTCATGACCAAGGTCAAAGAGCAGCTGGGCGGTGGGGCTCGCGTCGCATCATGTCCTCCAGCTTCTGGCACTGAGGAAATCATGTAAAACTTTGCGATGACTCTTCCTGGCAGGCTCGTTCTTCCCAGCCGGAGCGCAGGTGGCAATGTTGCGATTCCTGGCGTAACCTTCAATGCTTCGCTGATAATCTCTGTCGTCGCCAGGCACCAGCAGACTGTCACAGTGCAACTCCCAGGCTTCAGCAATGCCCGCCGAGGTCTTCATTGCAGCCTCTCATTTATTAGCTGTGTTGGAAATAACTCTGTAATACCTAGCTGGGTACCTCTGGATTTTAACAGCTGTGGTTTATAAGAGATTTGGGGGGGGGTTGTTTTCAAAGTGCCTTTCAGAAAGTATCACCTTAGACGGGAGTTTCCGTTCTGTTCCGGTAGGATGACTTGCTCTTGTGCTCAGAAAACCAAGCCTGCAGGAAAAATCAGATATTTTCTTACAAGACTTCTTAGCAGGCGGGCCTCTATATGACTTTCCCTTCTCCTCCCCTTTATTGGCCATAACCTTAACGGAAGGCTTTTGATGTCAAATGCTGAGTATCTTGGAAGAGGTCCTGCGTAGACAAGACTGCTTGGCCAGGGGCTGGAGAGTCACAGTTGGACTGGACTTGAAGGCCCTTTCTAATCTGAGATGTTGTGACTCCGGAACTAATTAGCCTCAACTTCTACAATGAAATGACACTAACTGCCATTTATTGAGCACTTTCTGTGTCAGCTCTGTGCTGAGATCTTAACATCATTCTCTGAATTCTGACAAAACCCCGCCAATATCATCCACCTTTTACGAACGAAGAAACGGGATTAGAGAGTTAAAAGCTTGTCTGGTGGCACAGATGTGAGGTTTGGTGAGCGACTGTCCCCTGGAAATCGATTCCAGGTGAGTCTACATCCATACTCGAAACCCACAACTCAACCAGAATGAAAGGGAGACACCAGGGATTGCCCTGTTCACGGATCAGTTCACGATCTCTCGGGGCGGCTAGTGTGGATTCGTTAGTCAGATTCAGTGTTGCAGTTAGGGAGCAAGACCTTAAACAAGACCTAGCAGTGTCCCAGCCCACGAAGTCTCTTCTGGAGGACAGCTGGGGGATTCCTGTCTTCCTGCCAATCAGGGATTTTAGCTATAAACAGTTTGTGACATCAAATGTCACTTTTCTTCCACACTCGGCCCTAGAGTTTCATTTAAATAATCAAAGCATTCTTGTCATCAAGGAGAGGCTAATTCCAGCAAAGCAGCCTAAAGCCATGTGAAGTGTGCACCTGCCATCTAGCACTCATAGTGAAAAATACAGCATTTTAGAAGAATTCAGCTTTTCCAGTTTGTTTTTTAACTTTGGAATTAAAATGAACTCAAAAGTTAAAAAAAGGAAAAAGAGAGACCCCCTAACATGTCAAGGTATTGAGATATAAAATATGCACCGAGTATTGCAAGAAAATATACTTCATCTCATTATTATTATTATTATTATTATTATTATTATTATTATTATTTTGGAGAGCTTCTATGCTTGAGGAACAAGACTGCTCCATGTGCCACCTCCGATCCAAGCCCCAACTTCTGCCAGGACCGAAGCTCCTTTGTTCAGAACCTCACCCCATGTGTCTTTTCATCTGGCTGCTGATTCAGATCCTTGAATAAACTGGTAAGCATAAGGATACATGTATATATTTCATTTCATCCCTCAAGGTCCATTAAATGCAGATTCCATCCATGAAGCTAATATTTTCTCATATTTTATGAGCATTTTTTCGACACTCATGTTTTCAAAAACGCACTGGGGCTCAACTGGAAACTGCACAATGACATGGAGCGCGGTGGGCGCTCAGCCTGCCTCCTGCTGGCCGAGGCGAGGTTGGTGTGAACAGGCCAAGGCGCGTGGCCAATGCCTCCTATGTGACACATCTCTGTAAAAGAGTAAGGACGAAACACTTAACAAGTTGAGCCCTTTGGCCTCTGCGAGTCTATCACCGTGGCTCTGCAAACCTTGCAAAATAAAGAAATCTGGGGCTCCTGGGGGGCTCAGTCGGTTGAGCCTTTAACTCTTGGTTTTGGCTTACCTTCTGATCTCCCGGTTCATGAGTTCAAGCCCCCGGGGGGCTCCCTGCTGGCTCCCTCCCCATGGGGAGCCTGCTTGGGATTCTCTCTCCCTCTCCTCTGCTCTTTCCGCCCTCCCCCTGCTTGCGTACTCTCTCTCTCAAAATAAACTTAAAAAAAAAAAAAAGAAATCTGACTCATATGTATCTTTCTCACTGACATTCTATCATTTGAAAGATGTCCTGGGGCCCCTGGGTAGCTCAGTTGAGCGTCCGACTTCGGCTCAAGAGCCTGCTTCAGATTCTGTGTCTCCTCTCTCTGACCCTCCCCAACTCATACTCTGTGTGTCTCTCTTTTTTTTTTTTTTTTTTTTATTTTTTTTTTTTTAAATTCCGCTTTTTTTTTTTTTTTTTGGGACAGAGAGAGACAGAGCATGAACGGGGGAGGGGCAGAGAGAGAGGGAGACACAGAATCGGAAACAGGCTCCAGGCTCTCAGCTATCAGCCCAGAGCCTGACGCGGGGCTCGAACTCACAGACCGCGAGATCGTGACCTGGCTGAAGTCGGATGCTTAACCGACTGCGCCACCCAGGCGCCCCGAGTCTCTCTTTCTCTCAAACATAAATAGACATAGAAAAGAAATGTCCTAAAAATTTTAAAGGCAATTGTAGAGAGGAGACATCTATTCCATTTATAATGTGAACTAGTGTGAGGAGCTTTTTCTTTTTCACTTTTCTTTCTTTCTTTCTTTCTTTCTTTCTTTCTTTCTTTCTTTCTTTCTTTCTTTCTTTCTTTCTTTCTTTCTTTCTTTCCTTCCTTCCTTCCTTCCTTCCTTCCTTCCTTCCTTCCTTCCAACAAGCAAGAGGGGCAGGGCAAAAAATTATTTGGAAAACACCTTCACTAGTGGAAGTGCCTCATTAAATGGGGAGCGGAAGAGGGTGGGGAAGTAAAGCCGGCCATGGTTGGAACAGCACCCCCATGTGCCCCAAGGTGCGCACTGGTTCCTCCGCGGGCCTCCTGCAGGGGGCGTTCGGGGGAGGTCAGTTCTTTAAGGGGTGCACGAGGTCTGAAGCTAGCTGACGGATTCAGCTTCTACTGTGAATCTCTGAAACTTTCTAGAGCTATTGCTCTTCCCTTACCCTTGATGTAATTTGAATCTCACCTGCTTTCCTGACCACGAATATTGCCTCAGTATACAGAAAAGGGAAAAGATGAGAGGTAAAATCGGTCCATCCGTCGGTCAATAAATCAATTTGGAATTTATGCAATAAAACATCTGGTGCAAGAGAGGCTAGCTAAAATAGGATTTTGAAGTCTCATCTTTGAAATCTGATCACTAATCTATGTATCTCCACACGGACATTTCAACCAAACATCAGTCCTACGTCCCCAAAGCCTGTCAGTTTTCGTCTGTTTTTGTCTTATTATGTGTTATTAAATAGAGTAAGTCTTCCGAAATGCTTTTGGAATTGGCTGGATAAGTAAATCCGAAATTAGTGAAAATGTACACAGATCTTCTTCTGTTCACAATGGGGGTTATGTGCCCAAAAGTCCACTGCACGTAGAAAATGTCATGAAGTTGAAAATGCTTTTAATACACCTGAGTTCTCGAACATCATAGCTTAGCCTAGGTGACCTCAAGCGTGCTCAGAACACTTACATTAGCCTGTAGCTGGGCAAAATCACCCAACACAAAGCCCATTTTACAATAAAGTGTTGACTATCTTACATGATGTGTTGAACACTGTACCGAAAGTGAAAACCAGAATGGCTGTGCAGGTGCAGAATGGCCGTAGGTGTGTCTCTGGTTGACCCCTGCGACCGCTTGGTGACCCGGAGCTACAGCCGCGGCCCTTGCGCGGCATCACGAGAGAAAATCGTCCCGCGTATCGCTAGCCTGGGAAATATTCCAAATTCGAAATTCCAAGCACGGTTTTGACTTCGTGCATTTCGCTTTTACACCACTGCAAAGTCAAGAACTCCTAAGTTGAGCCATCGTAAGCTGTGGCTGTGTGTACATTTCTACTTGTAGTTACCTCCTATCGAACCGAACATGCGCTACATCGCACATGTCTAGCTACCCCCATCTCCGTTCTAATTATGATTTCTCCTTCTCTCCTGTTTTGATCAATGGAGCCATCATTCTTCTGTTCACTCAGGCACAATATCAGGGATGACATTACTCATTCATTTATTCCTCTCTCGGCTTACCTAATTAACACATATTCATTGAACTCTAACCCCAAAGTAGGCACTGGAACCAGGCACTGTCTTCGACTCTGGTAACACAGCAGTGAACAAAACTGATAAAAATCTCTACCTTCTTGTAGCTCATAGAGTAGTAGGGTAGAAAGTCCATAAACATGATCAGTGCATTTTATGTTGGGTAGTCATCTGTCTTCACACCTCCCCTCTTCTGGGAGTCTGTGTCTTCTCTTACCAGGAAACTTGTCATTGAGTTTAGAGTCCACCCAGGTAATCCAAGATGATCTCATTTCAAGATCTATAATTTGATTACATCTGCAAAGACCCTCTGCCAAATAAGGGCACAATCATAGATTCTGGAGGTTAGGATGTATGTGTATCTTTTCGGGGGCCACCACTGAACCCTCTAAAGGGGAGAACAAGTAGAGTTTTTAAACATTTTTTTTATGTTTAGTTTTGAGAAAGACAGAGACACAGAGTGCAAGCTGGGGAGGGGTAGAGAGAGGGAGACACAGAATGCGAAGCAGGCTCCAGGCTCCGAGCTGTCAGCACAGAGCCCGACGTGGGGCTCGAACTCATGAACTGTGAGATCATGACCTGAGCCGAAGTTGGACGCTTAATCAACTGAGCCACCCAGGCATCCCAAGTAGAGTTGTTTTTACCCATTTTAAATCAGAAGTTACAGGGGAGACGTTTCTGAAAAGGTGGCATTTGAATAAAGAACTGGGGGCGCCTGGGTGGCTCAGTTGAGCAACTCGATCTCAGCTCAGGTCTTGATCTTGGGTTTGTGAGTTCAAGCCCCACACTGGGCTCTGTGCTAGGTATGAGGCCTACTTTAAAAAACTCAATAAATTGAATAAAGACCTGGAAGAGGTAAGGGAGGGACCTGTGCAGACTTCTGGGAAGGAGCACTCTGGGAAGTGGGAAGGATGAGTGGGACGGCCTTGCCTGTGTTGTTTGAGGAGGGGAGAGGCCAGGTTGTGCAGAGCATCATGGGTCCAGGTGATGACCTCTGAGTATGTGGGGGAGCTGATGGATGGAGGGCTTAAAGCAGGAAAACCACACAGCTCAGCTTCTGTTCAACAGCCTGGTGTTGGCTGTGTGCGGAGAATAAATGGCAGGAGCAAAGGCAGACACCAGATCCGTTCAGACATGACAGGAAGACAGGGGCCAATGGTGGTCTGAACCGCAGGGGTGGCTGCAGGAGTGGTGAAAGCGGTTGGATTCTGGACGTGTTCTAAGAATATAACTGACAGGATTTGCATCTGGATCCGGGGAGTGGGGGGAAGGAAAAGAGGAGTCAAGGACGCCTCCAAGTTTTCGGCCGGAGCAACTTGAAAAACCGAAGCTGACGTTTACAGAGATGGGAGAAGCCCGGGGTGGGGGGGTGGTGTCAGGAACTTGGCTGTAGGCAACCGAGTGTGGCGGTCCAGCGGCTGAGCCTGAGAGGCCCTTTAGCCAGGCGGAGTCAGGTGGCGAATGAGCAGCGAGGTGTCCAAGTGGGCAGGAGGAGGTCTGGGCTGGACATTTAAATCTGGGACTTGGAACACAGAAGACACTTGAAGCCATGACACCGGGGGACATCAAGGGTGACAAGGAAAGAGGAGTGGTCCTGGCACCGGGCTCTGGGTGACGCCAACTCCAACGAGGAGCCAAAGGAATCTGGGAAGGAGTAGAGAGAGCTGGAGAGTCAGCACGAAGCATGGGAGGCAAGCGAAGGAAGTTTTCGATTCTCCACTTGTTCTTCTACATCCCAGATGTAACCTTTAGTGCAGTAACTTCTTCCTTGTGTCTTTTTTTGATCTTTTAAAAGTTTATTTATTTATTTGGAGAGAGAGAGAGTCCGAGTGGGAGGAAGGGCAGAGAGAGGGGGACAGAGAATCCCAAGCAGGCTCCGCACTTTTAGCACAGAGCCTGATGTGTGGCTCGATCCCACGAAACCGTGAGATCGTGAGCTGAAATTAAGAGTCAGACGCTTGACCGACTGAGCCACCCAGGCGCCCTTCTCCCTTTCGACCCATTCTTAAAACTCTCCTGTTCTTCTGATTCTCCCTGTGTCCTTCATTTTATCACCCCGCATTGAGATAGAAAAGGTGGGATTTCCAGTTTGAGGTACAAAAGGTGGGGCTTCTGACTCCCATTTCGTCCTTCCCCTCATCCGTACCTATGGCTGCATGGTGGGGGCAGGGGTCCGTTATGAGCAGGGTGATGGAGGTGGAGAAAAACCAAGCCAAATTTACAGATGGGTCGGAGTGGGAAAGATACAAGCTAAGACTTAACAGTAGCCGCACTATAGCCCCTCGGGCTGGCCCTGAAGACAGAGGTGAGGGGGAAACCCAAGGGGCAGCGAGTTGGATGACACATCTAATCGTCCACTTCGTGTGTAAGGAGAATGGCTGGAGGCACATGGACTCATCAACAGTGGCAGATGGCTTGGCTGCTCGGTCAGAGGTCCGCAAAGAGAAAGCCTGTGGGCCACCAAGGGACAAGCGGGTCTGGGGCAGAAGCAGGTGGATGGACACCAGGTGTGAAGGGCTTTGTTTCCTTTTTCTAAAAAAAAAAATGTTTATTTATTTTGAGGAGGGGGAGGGGCAGAGAGAAAAGGGGAGAGAGAGAGAGAGAGAGAGAGAGAGAGAGAGAGAATCCAAGGAGGCTCTGCCCCTCCAGTGCAGAGCCCAACGTGGGGCTCAAACTCACAAACCGTTAAGATCATGACCTCAGCCGAAATCAAAAACTGGATGCTTGACCCACTGACCTAGCCACCCAGGCGCCCCAGGCTGTTTCTCACATGAAAGGCCACCAGGGAGCATCCACCATACAGGAGGCGTTAAATAAGCAGGGAATGGCTCACTTAAGCTGGAGTCAACCAGCTTCATCATTGGCCACCCAGCGCTGGCCACACGGACCCACAGATGAAGTAGCGAGGGTGGCAGGATTGGGGGCAAGGAGTGGGTCCGGCACTGTGGCTCCCACTCACCAGGGCAGTGGTGCCTCAAGTGTCCAACCAAGAGCAGTGCTGAGCCCTGGTGTGGCACCACCCCTCCAACGGCCACGTGGGGCAGGCGCCTGGGTCCCAGTCCAACTGCCCCCACTGCCCGGGGCTGCTCCCTGCATTCCCTCATGGGGGCTTTTCCTTCGAGTAATCCCCAATTAATGTCCCGCTTGCAAGTGTCTATCTCTGAGTCATTCCTGGGGAACCTGGCCTAAGGTAGGAAGAGATACAGAAGAAACAGGAAAAATGTAAGTGAAGAAAGATGAACATCTCACATGTCGTCACCGATCGCCACGCAGAATGCTTTCCACTTCCCTGTGTGCATCTCTGTCTCTGTGTCTATTCTTTTTTTTGTCTGTATTCCAATTTATTGTCAAATTGGCTGACATACAGTGTGTAAAGCGTGCTCTTTGTTTTTGGGGTAGATTCCCGAGGTTCGTCACTTACGTACAACACCCAGTGCTCATCCCAACAGGTGCCCTCCTCAATGCCCATCACCCATTTTCCCCTTCCCCCACACTCCCCCTTCCACCCTCGGTTTGTTCTCAGTATTTAAGAGTCTCTTATGGCCTCCCTGCCTTTCTGTTTGTAACTGTTTTTGCCCCTTCCCCTCCCCCAAGGTCTTCTAAGTTTCTCAAGATCCACATATGAGTGAAAACATTTGATATCTGTCCTTCTCTTCCTGACTGAGTTCACTCAGCACAATACCCTCCAGTTCCATCCATGTTGCTACAAAACTCCATATTTCATTCTTTCTCATTGCCAAGTAGTATTCCATTGTATATATAAACCACATCTTCTTTATCCATTTGTCAACTGATGGACATTTAGGCTCTTTCCATAGTTTGGCTATTGTTGAAAGTGCTGCTATAAACATTGGGGTACAAGTGCCCCTACTCCTCAGCACTCCTGGATCCCTTGGGTAAATTCCTAGCAGCGCTATTGCTGGGTCATAGGGTAGATCTATTTTGAATTTTGTGAGGAACCTCCGCAAGCCCGCGCAGTTTTTATTTTATTGCACATCTTTTGAAACATCCACTAGGTGGAGAACTTGTGTCAAGTTTGACGCTCAGATTGTGCCGCTCGGCCAGCCAGTCAAGGGAGCTGCATTTATCTACTTATTTATTTATTTAACCATTATTGAAACGAAGCAATGGGTTCTAACCAACAATGAAAAGCGTCTATGCCTCTTCCTAGTGGCCTAAGCTTTCCAGACATTATAGGCCCGAAAACATTATATAGAATTACATTTCTCTTGTGATTGACTGCTACCATGGCATGTTTTTAGGAGACACAGATGAACTATGTGAGTTCAAGGCTAAAATTTCTGCATAATCATTTTTGTTGAACCCTGCCTCTTGATTAGTTTATTATGGTTTATTCTAAGCTCTTTTAAATTGGCGAGGTGGTGTTTTTTGGGGTTTCTGGGAGTGAGTATTGATTGAAAGTTAACTGCCGATTAAGGAAATGATTTTATTCGTTAAAAAGCCTTATCCACTGATGTGCTTTTTACATTTCAACTTGCAAACACCGGGCAAAGGAATTTCTTTTCATGTGCATTGTTATTCTTGCTGATTATTGAGAAAGTTTTATTGAGGTCACAGAATGTAGGTTAATAGAATTTACTACACCATGCGTTCTTGGTTGCAACTCCGTGCAGTAGAAATGCGACCCTAATTCAGCTGCCAGCCAGCCCTTCCGTGCGCGGGAGTGCTGTGCCAGGAATCCTTGCCGGCTCCAGGGAAGGCCACTGTGTGAACTTGTCCCCTGCCACCAAGATGGAGGGCCACGAACAGCATTGCTGATCCTGGCCGTGCCTGTACCTACTCTCAGCAGAGCTTCCTGAAAACAGTCTGGACCTGGGTCTTTTCCTCTGGGTGGAACTCACAGCAGCGATTAGCAAACTAAGGCCCACCGGCCAAATCCAGCCCACTGCCTGGGTTTTACCATCTTCAAGCTATGGATGGCTTTTACAGATGAACATTGTCAACTGATTTGATGATAAGGGATACTAACTTGGAGCCGTGATTAAGTGATATATTTTCATTACAAAAACCCATACTCAATTGCTATAGTTTGGATTTTATCAATTAAAAATTGCTGCGGTTTCGCTTTCCCACAGCTTCGGTTGCCTGCAGTCAATGGTGGTCAGGAAGCAGATGACGCTCCTTCTGAGATACAGTCAGAAGGTCAGGAGGTCAAGAGCAGCCTAACGCTGCGTCACGATGCTTACGTCGTCCACCTCACTTCCTCTCATCGCGTAGGGATTTTCTCATTTTGTGACATCACAAGAAGGGTGAGTACAGCACAGTAAGATATTTTAAGAGCGCGAGAGAGAGACCACATTCACATAACTTTAATTACAGTATATTGTTACGATTGTTCTAGAACCTGTGCTTCATTTATAAATTAAACTCCAACATAGGTATGTAAGTATAGAAAAAAACAGTATAATAAGGTTCAGTACTATCTGTGGTTTCAGGCACCCACTGGGGGTCTTGGAACGTATGTCCCACGGGTTTGGGGGGAGGGACAAATGTCTCCACCACATAATATCCATTCTTTGCCTCTCGGTCCATAAAGTCTAAAATATTTACTATCTGGCCTTTACGGAAAAAGTCTACTGACTCTGCTCTAGAGGGTCTGTTAACTTATTACATCTAAAATTATGAGTGTGTGAAACATGTGGATTTTTCTGGAGAGAGGGCACCTGGCCTTCTTTGCTCTGAAAGGAGAATGTAATGACCAAAATGTTAAAAACTACTAGTCTCACTGGATGAGGGCCTTCCACTGCCAGCAACAACAACAATAATAATAACTCAAAGTATCATAGGATCAATGTACAAACAACGATCAAAACATTACTTCCCATGACTTTGAGGGGACCAAGGACAGGGCTGAGTTGAATTACTAACAGTGTGAGTGCAACTCTTTAGTCAAAATCACAAAGTTGATTATACTTTGCTGGGAACAATGTAGGTGCCTAGTAAGTTATTGTTGCATCAGCTTTATGTGTAACATGAAAAACAGAAGCCCCCCATTTTGATGCACTGGAGACCAGCACAGTGCTTGGTACTGTGTAAGTGTTTAGTTTGGGCCCACGACTGAATGACCCACGTGAACACAATTAACTGGACATTTGAAAATGTGTTACTGTCAGGGCGCCTGGGTGGCTCAGTCAGTGAAACGTCCCACGTCAGCTCAGGTCATGAGCTCACGGTTTGTGAGTTCGAGCCCTGCATCAGGCTCTGTGCTGACCGCTCAGAGCCCGGAGTCTGCTTTGGATTCTGTGTCTCCCTCTCTCTCTGCTCCTCCCTTGCTCGTGCTCTGTCTCTCTCTCTCTCTCTCAAAAATAAATGAAAACATAAAAAAAAAAAAAAAAAGAAAATGTCAAATGCACAGAATTAGGATGGGCAAAAGCACTTATTCTTATGAATTTGAAGCTAACCTCACCAAGATGGTACCTACAAGGAGTGAGGATTTAAATAATGCTATCTGAAGTTTCCTACTGTTCCCTGGGCTCACTCCGCTGTTGTGGTAATGACTGCAAGACTGGGATGCCTTTTAGAAAAAACAGAGGGGCAGAGAACCTTCTGAGAAGCAATAGTGATTCCTTAGAATGCATGTTTGATATTTTAGCTCCTTTCGGCTCGAGTTTCTGGGGGGGGTGGAGTCTATTCCCACCTTTTCTGATTACATTCCCTTGAGTATTCAAATAGGTTAAATGAGCACTGGCCACACCAAACACACCCGTCACCTCTGGAGCTGGTTCCAATTCATCCTCTCTGCAAAGATGAGTGGACACATGTGGCCTTTACAACACCGGCCCACTGGAAAGATCTATGGGCAGAAGGGAAAACAGACATGAGACCATTACCTGGAATCAAAGCCAGTACCTTCTCGCCCAGCATCCTGGGAAGTGCCGTCTCAAAGAACTGTCTTTTTCCCCCAACAGGATACTTGCTCTAGTTTATAAAAAGTAAGAGGATTTGCACACCTTCTCCTTTGATTGAGCTGTTTGTGTTGCTGTGAATTCTGGCCAATGTCTCCTAGGGCTTAGCTGAGTGGTTTGGGTACAACGTCGCCGACTGTTCCAATTTAAGAAGCTCTCACGAGATTGCACCGAGACAAAGGGTCTGCCGAGAGGCGCAGCCCCGTAGCGCTCCGACGCTCTAATCTGAGTTCTGCTCTGCAAAGTCCTGTCTAATCCTCTTGTACCCTGCTGTGGCTAGCAGTCGAGGGAAAGGCAGCAAGGGCAAAAGCTGCGGGATACAGATTTAATTCAATCCAGCAAACGTTTACTAAGCACCTCTGGTGTGCCAGTCACTGGGCCAGGTTCCGGGGATAGGAAGATTAATAGGATAGGATTCCAGAACTCAAAGGGGTCACGGTTTACAGGCAGAGAGGCACAGCCACATGAATAATAAAGCAGAAGAGGGGAGCAGAGGAAACTCGTCACTGAAGGAATGACACGGATGAGTCTTAACTGATAAGGTGATGTTAAGGGGCAGAGAAGGGGCGGATGGGCATCCCGGGTAGAGGAAACCGCATAAGCAGAGTTAAGAAGGTATCAAAGTCCCTGGCATTTGAGGCAAAGGTCGAAAGGATTTTGTCTCGGAGAGAGGTGGGAGAAAAGGCCAGAAGTGTGGTCTGGGGCAGAGTGGTTGATTCGTGTACTGCTGGAGACGGGATAGCAAAGATAAATCAACAAGTCCCTGCCCCTGGGAAGCTTACCTTTGGGGGTGAAGACCAGATCATAAACACAAAGGATAGGCAGCTTGTTAGGTCTGCCCTAACAAAATACCACAAACTGGGTGATGGAGACAACAGAAATCTTTTGTCTCCCAGTTCTGGAGGCTAGAAGTTCAAGATCAAGGTGTTAGTTGGGCTGGCTCCTGCTCAGGGCCGTGAGGAAGAATCTGTTCTAGGCTCTTCCCTAGCGTCTGGTGCTCGGTTGGCTTGTAGCAGTATCATCCCAACCTCTGCCTCCATCCTCACAGGGAACGCCTGTGTCTCTGTGTCCTAATTTCCCCTTTGAATAAGGACACCGGCCCCATTGGCGTAGGGCCCACTTTGAAGACCCCAACTTAACTCAATCATCTGGGAAGACCCTTTTCCCCAAAAAGTTACATCCACAATCCCATATACTGGGGATTAGGACTTCAGCATCTTTTGGGGGGGGCATAATTCAACCCATAACAGTATGTTAACTTGTAATAATAACTTGGAGCAACATAAAGCAGTGTAACTGTGTTGGGGAAAGCATCTGTGCTCGAGGCAGTGTAGCGGGGAGGTTTGCAATTTTCTGTAAGGTGGCCCAGGTTATGACTCACTGCAGAGGCTACATTTCACACACACACACACACACACACACACACACACACACACACACACTTTAGGTTCTATTTATTTATTTCGAGAGAGAGAGAGAGTGCTAGCGGGAGAGGGACAGGGCGAGAGAGAATCCCAAGCAGGCTTTGTTATGTCAGCACAGAGCCCGACTCGGGGCTCAAACCCACGAACTGTGAGATCATGACCTGAGCCCAAATCAAGAGCTGGATGCTCAACCGACTTAGCTACCCAGGCGCCCCAAGAGGCTACATTTGGACAAAACTCAGGGAAATGAGGGAAGTGGGGCTCACAGATATCTGGGGGAAGAGCGTACTAGGCAGAGAAAGAAAACAGTGCGAAGGCATGTGTTAGGCATGATCTATGGAGCGAGGAAGCCAATGAGGCTGGACCCAAGGGGGATGGAGGAACCAGAGGAGATGAGGTCAGTGACTGCGAGCTGCCGGGACATGCAGGGCCTTACGGCCATTGGAGGGACTTTGGCCATGGAGCCATTGGGTAGTTTGGGGCAGAAGGGTGAGATGGTCTGATTAGGTTTTAAGAGGTTTGGGGGTTTGGTGTTGAGTATGGTCTGGGCGCAGGAGCCATGGTGGATGTGGGAAGACCAATTAGGAGGTGACTGTAAGAATTCAGGTGACAGACGGAGGTTGCTCGGACCTGGGTGCTGAGAAATTCGGAAATACTGAATTTGGGCTACATTTGGCTCATGAATGTGGAGCCAGAAGCTGAGGACAGAGATCTGAGCTCCCACTAACCTAGACCATGTCATTATTTCCCCAGGTTGTGGGCTGAGATATGCATTTGGACACTCCAAGGGTGTCTTTCGGTTTTCTATACACCGCAGTGGCTTAGCTCCTTTTCTTTCCTACCTGGAGTCTCTTTGAAGACACAGACATTCAAGGACAGGAAATCCTGTACTATGGACCCTCTCTTCTTAAAAGTAGAGAAGACACAGAAATAATTCAGTAGGATCCAGACATTCTAGCTTTGCATGTTTTGGGTCTGGTACAATCCAGAGCAGTGAGTGACTTTCTCCGCTGAGGAGGTGGGCTTTGCAAGACATGTACCCTAGAGGCATAGTCTGCGGGGTAGCAAGATAAAGACAAATCACTGTTGCTTTGGGGTCGATATAACCTCATCCTTATCCATTTACCCAATTTAATTGTGTGCCAAGTTCTGCATCCTTTTTTTATCCCTTCCTTCTGTCACTGTCCTAGTTCAGGCTGAATCTCCTCTCTTTGTGCTTGTAGAATAGCTTCCTCAATGATCTTCGTACTGCTTATGTTTTTTCTTTTCTTTTTTTTCTCTTTTCTTTCTTCTTTTGTTTTAAATGTTTATTTTTGAGAGGGAGAGAGAGAGAGAGAGAGAGAGAGAGAGAGAAGGTGTGAGCGGGGGAAGGGCAGAGAGAGGCACACACACAGAAACAGAAGCAGGCTCCAGGCTCCGCGCTGTCAGCACACAGCCCGACGCGGGGCTCAAACCCACAGACCACAAGATCACGACCTGAGCTGAAGTTGGATGCTCAACTGACTACCCCGCTCAGGTGCCCCTCTCTTTCTTTCTTTCTAAACTAGTCTTAAAGTCATTTCCAGAATGTTTCTGCTAAAATGTAAAACTGATGACAGACATCATTCCCTGCTCGCTCTGGAAATCCTTTGATGCCCCATGCTGACTTGCCTTGTCCAGGCCCGCGAAGCTATTTCCAGTCTGGCCCACACATGCCTTTACAGCATCCCCCTCCTCTGCTCTCGACCTCGGATTCCAGGGCTGTCCTTCCTGCACGAGTGCCTTTCTTGCCAACCTGCCCCTGTCTATCTGAAGAAGAAGACTTTGATCCAGAACAGTGATCGCGATTTTTGAGTCTACAGTGTTCACGCTAGTGAGATAGTCAAAAGAACATGGATTCCTGCAGCAGCAAGACCTGGATTAGAATCATGGCTTTGACAACGGCCATCTGCGTGACTCTGATCCGTTACATGGCCTCTCTGAGTCTCAGTTTCCTCATCGAGAGTAGAGATAGCAAGGCCACCCTGCAGAGCTGCGGTCGACGTCGACACCACGTTGTTAAAATGACAGCTTAGCACCAGACTTGTAAGAGGCATTCAGGGAGTGGTGGACATTGTTATTAAACATCAGTTTGGAGTTCAGGAGAGACACCGTCTGGAGTCAGACTTTCAGGAGTCGGGCGTGTTGGTGGAAGTGGTGGGCAATTTACAATTTCCTGGGCAGATGGTTCAGAGAAAGAGGCAATGACCCGGGAAAGAGCATGCACGATGAGTTGATACTGGCTTTTAACCTAACACATATGCACACTTCACCAGTTTAAATTCAACTAATTCAGATTTTATGACATTGCAGGCAAAACTGGGTTGCAACTTACTTCTGTGCTATTTATGAGAAAATTAATAGGGAGAACATGATCCAGAGCTCCTAATGTGGGGATGCTTAACCTACTTAAATAAGTCAACTAAAGTTATGTCGGAATCAGTTTAGCAAGATTAGTTTTCGTAGAGACACTGTGCTTTAAGTGATTTAGAGATGTAAATTAGAATTTGGGAGCCAGAAAGGAGATAGAGATTATTAGCATATGGCCCTCGTTTTACAAAAAGAGAAAAGAGAGGACTAGACTAGAAAGCTTAACTGACTTGTACAAGCCCACACAGAAAAAACAGAGGACTCAGGCCCCCTCCCTCCTGAATAGTGTTCCTTTGAATATGCTGGGTGTCACCTTTTGCATGTCAAGTGATCAGTGTTTTTCTAGGCCATACCTGGTTAGCCATTAGTGCTTTGTTTTGTTTGCAAATTCTTGATGGTAATTAAGGAAGTGCTATTTCCAAATTATCGTGTAATTCAGACTTAGTATTAATTCATGCTGGTGTTCCTGGTGAGGTTCTGGAATTTGGCTGGTTTACTTGGGCAGAGTTGTAAAAGGGAAACCTGTACAAGGAGTAAAAGCCTGATGGCAGCTTTACTCTGAACAAATGTTCTTTATTTAAAAAAAAAAATTGGCCTCTACATACCCAATTTAACTCACTGGTCCTTAATTAGGACCATTGTGAGTTTAAGTTTGGCTTCACAGAGTAGATTTTCTGAATCCCAAAGTCTGGCTGGCTTAGCAACTTAGTCTCAGCAAAGATCAAAAGCATTTTATGAACAATCCAACACCCTCCACTCGTAATCTGATAGTAGAGAACCCTGGTCAACATATTTTTCAGGGTCACCCCTTGTTAGCCTTTATTACTGGCTGACATATGAGAATACACTCATTCATCTCAGAGACCTTCCGAGAAAAATTAGCTGACCGCAAGGCACATGATCTTAAAGGGCATTAAAGTTTATGTAGATCATCGTTGGCTATAAAACCTTTTCTTTTCTTTTCTTTTTTATTTTTTTGTCTCGAGTGGATAGTCCCTAGAATTCCTATTATCTGACTTCAAGAGAATCTGAAAAGAAAGGAATCCTGGGTGATTCGTTTTCAAAAGTATTTGTTTGACTTAAACTTTTGTACCCCCAGTACCACTGCCCGAGGCTGTCAAGACAAAATAAATCGGTGTGTTAATTACGCAAATAAACTCACAGTAGAAAGACAGCTACAACTAGAAGGAAGGACATAGATGGAGGGTGTAAGTATTATTCCGCCGTGGAGGAGTACAAACCAGGCTGGACTTACATACAGTAAGAAATGGGTAAGAATGGAAACTTCTTAGGTCTGTAAACCACCCAACCAGAGTTAACACTACAGACTTCTTTCTACCTAGGATGAAGTGAACTGTGACTCACCCTTTAACATCTGAGATATCCATGGTTTTGTCTTTTCTTCTTCTCCTCCTCTGCCTTCTTGGATTTAATAGTTATGCTGGGAATAAGAATATAGACCAGGCTTGAAAATTAAGTTAAATGAAGTAATATATACTCTTTACCTTCATGTATATTTTATACATACTAAATGTGTATATATATATTGTATATGTATATACACATATATATACATATATACACATATATACATATATATATTTAGTTTACCTTAAATATTAAATTAAATGCTATATACTCTTTATCTTTTTTGGTCAGAAAGATAAAAAATGTATAAAGGACACTGGCATGAACCCTACTGAATCAACCGTTTTTACAAACTGACCCAATCTTCAGTATGTGGGTTGGTGATTATGGGGTGTTCCAACACTCTGTCCTCAGCTCTAAAGCTTAAACAACAAAACAAGTCCATGTTGCTTGCCAGTTAATAAAGGGATCCAAGGGCCTCCCACTGAAAGCTCTGGTCCTTTGTAGCAAAGGAGACATCATTGTCTTAGGATGTCAGGTTCTGTTTGGGGCCATGGCTTCCACCAGGCTTTGTCTCAAGTACCAGATCTTTCCTTTCACTCCCTTCCCCCTTCCTCCCTCCATCTGTTCCTTCCTTCCTTCCTTCCTTCCTTCCTTCCTTCCTTCCTTCCTTC